CCCCCCCCCCCTTTTTTTTTTTTTTTTTTTTTTTTAAAGGTTGTCTCTACTCTCCCTTTGGTTTCAGATTGTCAGGACTGGCTTGTGAGCTATATTGAAAGCCTTGGTAGCGTGCTCCTTCGTTGTTCTGGAGCATCGTCTCCAAGAAGGCCAAAGGACTGTGCTATCCCTGGATGGTGAGGCCTCCTATGCTGTGTCTCTTAGTATTTCTAATGGGACCAAGCTATCCCTATGCTGGTCAGATACCCCCTGGAAAAGTGCCTGTCCAATCCCAGGTACTAGCTTTGCTGGAAGAACAGCTATTTTAACCCGTCTCGTGGCAGAGAGTGCCTTTTGGAGCAGAGGGGTGCCCATTTGTACCCCAGTGCCACATATGTGGGTCCCAGCTGGTTGATGGCACATGTTTGCATGTGATGCACGTGACACTAGCCCCTCTCGCTGGTCTCAACTCCCTTGGATTCTGCTCGGTTGTCGTTCAAAGAATGAATGCTTCTTTTAGGGGAAAAAACATGCAAGGGGCCCCAGGAATAGCTCAGACTTTCCTTTGCACCCCAGCCACAAAGAATCCCATAACACACGTGTAGGATCCTGAGTACAAATCAGCCTAACAGTGTGCCAAGTGAAGGAGAGCAGGAGTAGCAGGGGGCACTGCCGGTGGCGTGGGACTGATTAGGTAATGCATGTCCAGGTGATCTGAGAAAGTGGACCATGCCCTGCAGGGTGGAGGAAGGTGAAACCCCCTTGCTGGTCCTCCCCAGTCGGACCGGGGGGGAGTGTTTTTCCTGAGTGCTTGACTAAGATGCACCAGCCAAGAACCAGAGAGGTTTTTGGTGCCAGCGGGAGAAGCGGGGTGCCCCGGACAGGCTCACCGCTAGCTGTGGTCCAAGTCTGACGATGTAGAAAAAGGCAGGGGGTGGGGACCCTACAAGCCTAGTACTGTATTCAAGTTGGGGAGTGGAAGGGATCTTTCCTGGCCCCCACAGCCTGGGATTAATACAATACAAACGGGGGAAACTGCCTGTCCCATTGGCAAATGATGAGATACCCCTCGGAGCATGCAGCTTGGCTCCTACCTCTCTATATTTATAAAGTCAGATTAAATTCTGGCGTCTGCAGCATCCGAACAGGCAGAAGCTGCGTTGTGTTGTGCCCATTGCAGCATGGGAACGAGAAAGGCTCTTCAGCCATCACTGTCGGCCCGGAGTCTCCTGAGGCCCAGATCAGTGAAATTTTTGACCTAGTAAGTTCAAAGGGAAAACAAAACGGAAAGGCACAGAGACCGGCAAGGGTTCATCCAACTGGGGAATGCCTGCCCGGAGCTCTGCGGGTGCTATCTGCCCTTGTATGATGCTGTTTACGTTTCAGAGTTTCCCCAGCTCCTCGGTTAGCTCCCTGCCAGAAGCCGGTCGCGCTGACTTGCAAGGTGGGGGCACGTTTGAAATGCCTGGTGCGTTTTTAGAAATACTTCCGAATGCAGTGAAACAGGCCCCAAGTTGGCTGCGCCGGTTGCAGGAGCTCATGTGCAAGCTATGCCCAGGCAGTGCCACAACACGTTGTGGTTGCCTGTTTGCGTGTAGCTGCACTGTGGGCCCTCCTACAGGGAATAAAGGCATGATCCTGTCTGTCAAAGCCCAGCATAGCTTCAGTACCTGGATTAATTCACTGTTCATTCCCCTTCCAATCCATCCTTCCTGTATTAATATTCTAGTTCTGGCCCACCTTGTTCTTGTGAAGAGGCCTTGACTGGCCCAGAGAGATCTGCCTGCCATGCTCTGTGAGTCCAAGTCACCAACTGGTGCTTTGCCAGTTGCTTGCCTTGCCAGGGTCGGGGGGTTTCTTTCCTTCTCCCTTTTCCCCTCCACCCTGGAAGTCCCTGAGTGCCGCTTTGGCTGCACTCAACAGGAGCAAAGCCTTCCAGGCTGCATTAGCCATGTTTCAGGCTGGCAGACAGCAGATGGAAAATAAACGGGTTCAGGAGCTCTGGGGCTGCTAATGGTGCTGCAGGCAGTGGAGAATAAACAGAAGAATAAAGACTATTTACTCTGGGTCCTGGAGGCTTTGCTGGTGGGCACTTGGCCCCATCTGTCAGCATGGTCCTTGATGGGAGAGCCAGAGCCTGCTGCAGAGTGGCAAGGAGGATCAGGGCTGTCAGACCCTCTCCTTCCCTTCTCCATCTTATCTCCCCCTCTCCCCAGCATCCTGACGCTCTCCTTCTGCCTGTGTTTTGTCTCTTTTTCCCCCCTGTGTTCTGAATGCAGTGGAGAGGAACGGGCTGGAAGAGCCATCTGTTTAGGTCTCTGCCAAGTGACGGTGGCACCTTCCACCGGAGATTCTCCGCATGTTTTTCTGTAATGAATTAGGCCTTGCACACTGCTCAGGGGAGGCCCGAGAGGGCTTGGCTCAGGACAGATGTGACTTTCAATCATTTGGAAGGGGGAAAAGGAGTTACCTCTTGGACACATGCATTGGCTATTTTATATAATGGTTATTTCTCTCCAGGCTGTATTGGAATAAGTGAAACTGCTGTAAATTCAAATGCGAACTCAAGTGGTTTATGTGTCAGTGTGTGAACAGCCTACACCATTATAATTTAACACCTGTGACACTGTTACGTCTGTCCACACTCTTCATGTCTCAGTGTGGGAAGTGAGGCATGGGGTGGTTGGACCTGTTCACCGAGCAGAGGAAGGAACATTTGAATTCTGACTTAACCTGGCAACATCCCTTCTTAGGGGCAAGGGACTGAAAGCTGTCATCCCACCCTGCTTTGCTTATGAGATCCTAGTTTGGTTCTAGGTGGCCACCATTGACACCTAGGCTGTGAATGTCGTTGGGTTGTGGGCTTTTATTTCCCTTTCTACCAATGTACGAGGGCTTGGTTAGTTTTCCCTTCACCTGTGTGAAGTGAGTCTTTCATTCAGATAATCACTGCCAAGCTCTGAATAGGATGTTGGGTAATTAAGGCAAGTCGCCATACTCTGGGTAAGATGCCCGGCTACGAAAATAGTTCCCTGGCATTTGTGGGAACGGATGAATGAATGAACCGATTCTAGCAAGTTAAGAGCGGGTGGGGACTTGCTGTGGAGCAACCGGTGTGCGCTAAATGTCCGTGCACCTGGTCTTACCCTATGTCAGATAAAAGTTAAGCCACAGTAACTTAGCTCTCAGTGAAACAGGGCAAAATTAGCATGGTTTACTTTCCCCTTCACTTGCAGCAAGAACAGGCACACAGGTGATTAATGCATGGCAACTGCTAAATGCCCAAGCCCATTAAGTCTCTGTAACTTGTTCATTTGCCCATGACCAACAGGGAGCCTACTACCTGCAAAACACTTTCTGTGATGGCCTCCACAATGCCTTCAGCAAGGGATGTTGGGGACAACTCCGAAAGAGAGGAGGGAAAAGCTAGAGCAAATGATTTGTTGTGAATTGTGCAGCCAGATGTAGTTTTAATACACTTCCGTCAACAGTTCCCAGACACTAATCTTTACTGTCAATAGAGCAAGGTATTGCCAGCGAGCATTCGTCTGTGCATTGGACAGCTCTGTTTGTAATTGTTAAAGATGCACAATAACTCTTGAGCTGGGGGGGCCTAAATGAATTTTGTAGTGCAGCTTGAATTAAGACTCTTTTGCCTTTTATTTCTCACCTAGGAGACAGCTTTGAAGGCTCTGGGAAATGAGGGCCTTTTTCTCTTCTCCTCCCTGGACACTAACAATGATCTGTACCTGAGCCCTGAGGAGTTCAAGCCAATAGCTGAGAAGTTAACGGGTAGGTATTGACCTTGAAAGGTCAGCTGTGCAGTGAAGTAGATGGACAGTGAGGATCTGAACATAACATGTACGCAGTGGCTTTCATTACGTTTTCTTTCCCTCCTGCCATTCAGGGGTTAACCTCTACAGTGAGAAGCCGCTAAGCTGTAAGTGTTTTTGGAAAGGCTTACGTGTCAGACACTGCTTTCACCAAGCATGGTCTTTGTCAGACTGATGCTCCTGGTGCTGGACTAGTAAAGCACATAAGTTACTTTTGTCTGGAGCTTAAAAGGGATTTGGGGTGGGTGAAGGCAACTGATAGATACAGCTCAGCGCTGGTGAGGCCAAGCCCATTTGGGAGTCACTGGGCTCCATTCATATTTTGCTCTGCTTGCCTCTGATAGTGGTTGAGCAAGTGCCCATTTGGAACCTGCATCCCTTTGTAACAAATGGTTCTCAGGGAAGCCAAACAGCTTGAAATATCATGGCGATAACATGCGGGTGGGTTTAAACTACAGTGAAAATACCCAGTGTGTTTGATCCTGCTGTACTGAGCTGGCTGGAGTGTGTATATCGGCTCCTGGCTAGATGGAATTGGAATCAGACCAGCTCAGCTGGGTCATAGGCTTTATACTGCTCTCAGCTAAGGGGCGATTCTCCTTTAAAGCAAGTAACAGAGGCCTGTGCTATTTGAAGGAGGTGGATCTGAATTCTCTTAGGGCCACCGAATGCAGCAAAGCGACAGCTGTGAGATTCTGAATGAATTTGCTCCAATAGTAGACGTATAATCATCTCATCATGGGTTGCAGGGGGTGGGGGAAGAAATAACCCAGCTGTTAAATGATTGTTGCTTTGTTTAGGTGTTACTTCTGTCTCTGAATACGAAGAGGAAGAGACACTGGATCCCAGTGGGGAGATGCTGTCTGTTGCTGCTAAATTCCAGCCCTTGCTCATGGAAACGATGACGAAGAGCAAAGACGGTTTTCTAGGAGTAAGTGCACAGGATGCATGTGAATCGGTTTCTCACCGACACCCATGCAGCTGGCTCTGGACATTGGAATAACATCAACACGAATATATTGTGTTTGTTATTAGGGTGGTTCTTTCTATGAGCAGGGATCAGACTAAGCCAGAGGCCGTTGGCACATTATTTTGGCACTTTTGCTAGTGACCTCACAAGTTTCTGCAGTACCTTCCCCTTTTTTATACTATGTACGTACTTCCAAAGCTTATGCACTAAAGAGAAAGCTCCAGCGTGTGGCCTGGGCATAATACTCTCAGCTGGAATTTGCAAAACTGAAGCTTCAGCTCTGAAAAGTCCCCTTTCTCAGAGGGGGCGATTACACTCCAGACACCGTGTTTATATACGGCCATTTCTATGCTGTTCATCACTATGATGAGGCTAGCTGTTTTATTTTATTACTAGTTATTTTGTCAGAAACTTCCAGCTGCAGTGGAATTGCTAAGAGGCCCTTGATTGCAGGCAAAGTTTTGGATAGACTCTGCTTCCCTTCTCCAGACAGCTGACCCCTGTGCACCAGTTCGTATCCATCAGCATTGCATATGGCAAAACTCTTCAAATCCTCCTGCATCCTCTTCAGCTGTTCTGATGCTCTCATTGCGTTTGCAGATTTCTCACGTTGCTCTGTCTGGGCTCCGGAACTGGACTGCCCCAGCAGCCCCGGTGAACATGATGTTTGCCAGGCAGTTCAAAGCTTTTCTCCCTCCAAAGAATAAGTTGGAACTTGGTGATCCTTGGTGGATTATCCCTAGCGAATTGAACATCTTCACTGGGTACCTTTCTAACAACCGGTTTTACCCTCCAGCCCCCAAGGGCAAAGAGGTAAGAACACCACCTTCTCCGAATCACGGTCTGCCTTCTCACCCAGGTGAGGTGCATGGCACAGGGACTCTTCTGTCGTGTTGAACCTTGTGCTTTTCATGTATGTTTTTTTAAGAGCTCTGGAAGTGCAGAGTGTATAGAAGAATTATTAAATACACTTAGCCAGATTTTGAACATGCCAGGGAGAAGCGTAAGATGGAACATCTCAGTCAGATCTAAATTGTCTCAATTGTTTAATCCTCCTGGCTGTCTAAGTGGGTAGGCTTTGAGCTCTGCTTAGCAGAAATGTATGTTACAGGTGACTGGTCTCATGTCTGTTGTCTTTGATTCTCTCCACAGATCATAATCCACAAACTCTTGAGCATGTTCCATCCACGTCCGTTTGTAAAGACCCGCTTTGCACCTCAAGGCGCTGTGGCCTGCATCCAGGCAAGCAGCGAGTTTTACTATACCATAGCATTCAGGTAAGCACTCCCAGGGGCTGCAGGTGGGTGCGGGGGGAGGGAAGGAGGGCAGAAGAGGCAGGGGTGTTAACTAGGAGGTTAGGGCATGTTTTCAGTTAGATCTACATAATTCTTCTTTTTAGACGAAGTCCCTTTTCCCCATCAAATCAAAATGGAAGTGACAGATTTGAGGATTATAAATTTCCCAAATGTTAGTTTTTGTAACTCATCTTTGGGGTGGAAGAAGGGTGTGAAAGGACTTGGCAAGTAAAAAGGTCTTGACCTCATCCTCTAGACAGTGAGAGACTGGGGGAAGGGAGAAGGGAGGAGGCTTAAAGAAGCCAACATGGCAGCAGGTGCTGGTGTACTTGAATGCACCTCAGAAGCAGAGTGAGTTCAGGGTTGAGCTGTGTGTTCACACACCCTCCTTGCTACCGTATATGTGGAGCTGATGAGGAGACAGACCACTCTCCCGGGCCAGTCTTGCAGGAAGTGGCTGTTAATGTGCATTACTCCCTCGATTCCTGTAGATGGTGCCCATGGGCCTTTGTACATGCCACAAAATTGGCTGCTTAAATGCCCTTATGCACCGCTTTAATGGGGTTACTGTTTACACTGTCAGCAGAGTATTACGCATTAATGGCCCTGCTGTTTATACTGTCAGTGGTGTATTGCGCGTTAAATGACTTTGGGACGTAGCAAAATACAACACCTCCGAGAGGCAGATAAGGGTCAGGCCTGACCCTTGTGTACACATCACGGGGGTTTACTTTGGCTTAATTCTCCCTAAATTGAAGCGGTGTTTTAAAAAACGCATCGTTTCAGTTCAGGGAGAATTAAACTGAAGTAAACCCCCGTGGTGTGTACAAGCAGCCCATGCTCCTAATTGTGTAGGAACTGTTGCCCTGTAAGCAAATCCACAAGACTTAGCAATCTCCCCTTTCCCTCTGGTGATGGCCTGAACTGAAAGGGGAAGGTCTGGTCAGTCATGGGGTGTAGCAGTGCTGTAAGGATAATGCTGCTTAGGAGCATCTGGCTCCTCAAACAGCTTTATGCTGCACGCGGTTCTTTTCTTGTCTGTGCTGTGCAGGGCCTTGAATGGCTCTTTTCACCTTACTATCTGGCTTTCAGAAGTGCAGCACGTGACATGACAACCAGCAGTCCATGTAGACTTTGCTTTCTCCTCCCTATGGTCCCTTGGTCATAGCTGGAGCATACAGGCTCACTGTTGTTTTCCCATTTCAGGATTCATGCTGAGTTCCAATTGAATGAGCCTCCAGATTTCCCTTTCTGGTTCTCCCCTGGCCAGTTCACAGGACACGTCATCCTCTCTAGAGATTCTTCCCATGTTCGAGAGTTCAAGCTCTTTGTCCCAAACAACAGGTACAGCCATTCTTGTTCCTTGTTTATACACTGAGGAGAGACCTGAGATGTGTTACAGTGTGGAACGGGAGCGAGAGCCAAGGGGATCTGTGATTTCCCTCTGCTCCGTGCTGTGTGTGCATGTCACAACTAGGGAGTGTTACCTGGCATTTATGGTGACATCTCTTGCCTGAAGGTATCCGAGTGTATTGATTGCTCAAACCAACCCCTCCATTCCCAACTTATGCACAAGGGAGATAAGTGACTCACCCAGACCTGCAGATGAACATGTCAGAAGGAGGTTGAACTCGGGAGACCAAGTTCACTGTGCCAAGCTTCGATCCTGGGGAATGCTATCCTACCTGCACACAATGCATCCTTTACCACTTGACTAATTTTGGACATTCAAAAAATAGATTTACTTTCTGAGCACTAAACATAGTAAGGGAGGAGGACTCCTTTGAGATCGGAGTGTACGCTCTGGATCCATGGATTCTGATGCTCACCAGCTTGGACTGACTTCTTTCCCCACCCTTATCAAGTCAGCACCGGTGAGGTACATCTGGAGTACTGTGTCCAGTTTTGGGCCCCCCACTACAGAGAGGGTGTGGACACATTGGAGAGAGTCTAGCAGAGGGCTGCAAAAATGGTTCAGGGACTGGGGCACAGGACTTATGAGGAGAGGGAACTGGGCTGATTTAGTCTGGAGAAGAGAAGACTGAGGGGGATTTAATAGCAGCCTTCAACTACCTGAAGTGGGGTTCAAAAGAAGATGGAGCGGGACTGTTCTCGGTGGCAGATGACAGAACAAGAAGCAATGGGCTCAAGTTGCAGCAAGGGAAGCTGAGGTTAGAGATTAGGAAGAACTTTCTCACTAGGAGGGTAGTAAAGTACTGGAACAAGCTACCCAGAGAGGCTATGAAATCTCCATCCTTGAAGGTTTTTAAGACCTGGCTAGACAAAGCCTTGGCTGGGATGATCTAGTTGGGGATGGCCCTACTTTGAGCAGAGGGTTGGACTAGATGTGACATCCTGAAGTCCCTTCCAACCTTCATTATTTGTGATTCTGTGGTTCTGTCACTTTATCTCCTGTGCTTGTTTGTTTTATTTTTTTTTGGCTTTTTGATTTTAAAAACGCACAAACAACACCACTCAACTTACTTTACCTGTGTGCAAGGCTTAATTACTGTTTGTAAAGCATTCAAAGAACTCCAGATAAAAAAACATCAGATGCACGTTGGCCTCTTTAATTGTGCTGTTACAAACCTGCATTCACAGTGAATGTCTGGCCAGCTTCTCTTGTATGAGTTCCAGAGAAGGCTCAGCCTGCAATTAGAGATCAGGCAGCAGCTATAACTTGCAAATGCAGAAGGCAGCAGGACCATTGCCAGGTCCAGAAGAACCGTCAGATGTTCGTGTTGTATTAGACACCTCCTGATGTTTCACATTTTGTCATAAGCCCTTTGAAAGTCCGAATGAAACCAGCTCCACTGTTATCCATAAAACTGAGGAACACATTATTGCAGTAGCAACATGTTTTTAACAGAGCCATGGAGAACACTCTGCCAGCCAGAGCCTTGAATAGACTGAACACATATGTTCGCATTTACCATAGCGAGCTGGTTCTGTTGCAGCTTAGAAGGTGGCAGGAGAGGGGGGTTTCTCCACCTGTGTCTTGGCACCTTGGGGTTCAGAGGAGCCTGACTCATCTGCTTTGAAATGCAAAGCTAACAAGATTTCCAAGGCTAGTGTTCAGCATGTGTAGATTTATGTTCTCTGGGAAGCAGCTGGCAGCGTTACAAGGGATAAAAAGCTAAATTCTCACTCAAACCGTCATGGGCCAAGACCGTTCTGTGGAATGTTCCCCAGGCGACTTGTGGCTCTGCCTGCACATTTGTTCCAGGAGTTTTTAGCTAGTACAAAAAAGTAACGTGCAGCAGGGATGGGATTTGCAGAGTCTCAGGGATTGGGAAGGACGCTTCCCTCCCCTGTCCAAAAACTCCACACACCCTTAACTGTTTGCATGAGTTCCGCTGCTCTTCTGGGCAGTCCTTCAATGAGGTCCATTATTTATAGAGCTCTGTGGAAGCCTGCCGGCTCACTTCCATGGAGCTCCACATAAACTTGGCTCTTGGGATCTGGGACGCAGGCTTGGATCCAACCGAGGGACGGTGGCTGTTCCTCAGGTTCTCGTATCTTAAACGACTCCTGTGATTGAGAGCTTTTCATGCACATGGTTCTTAGACATGGCTGATTGTAAATGTGCTGGTCTCTTCTTCCAGGTCCCTAAACGTTGACATGGAATGGCTGTATGGGGCGAGCGAAAGCAGCAACATGGAGGTGGACATTGGTTACCTCCCTCAGGTTGGTAGCAGTGTACTTGGCTGTATGTGCACACTTGTGACTCACCAGAATATATCCCATGGCAGCCCTGTAGCACTCGCTTCTGCTGTTGCCGTCAGGGCTGCTAGCACTCCCCTTGAATGCTTGGACGTGAGCCTAATGTTCCCAGCACGCCTGCAGAGCACCATACAGAGACACTGCCCATGGCTGCCAACTCTCCTAACTCGTATTGTGATATGTGGTACTTTTGTCTCTGAGTCAGAGCTCCAGGAGTCACGTGATTTATGTAAGATCTTGGCTTTCATTAAAAATTAAAGTTAATTTCTGGCTTGGGTGGCTTTGGAATAATTCAGAAGCCTGTGTGCTGAAGACTTACAGCCCTGAGGGGAAATAAAAAAGTACATCATGCGTTTGGCTTTTAGACATCCCCAGTTCTTTTCAAATGATATCTCATAACTCAGGGACAGGGGACCTACCGCATGATGTTTTTTCTTAATGTCTTGGGATTGGCAATACCATTTCTCTTAGATCTTCTTTAATAACTAAAAATAAGGCTCATGACAGATCCCCCAAATCACTTAGGACAGACCACGCACTATAAACATAGCCTGGCCACTGCTCTCAATAGAGAAGCTCGGTAACAGCCTTCCTATTTGCAGCTGCCCATAAAACTGCTTCACTGCCAGGGTGAGTAGAGAAACATCTGTATAGTACTGCAAGTGTGACAAGTCCCAGAGAAGAGCTTGGGCATCTGGTGCCCTCAGATGGAAAATCTCCATGCTAAATCTTTGTAGGGGTAGCATCTCCGCTTTTCCAATCCAAATCAGTGCAAAGCTGTGAGCGGTACAGAAATGTGGAGTTGGGGGAAATGTTTCAAACACGTGCATGTCAATGGATTAAGCAGGGCTTGAGTGAACACTAAGAGGTGGTGTGCATGTTCTTTGCAGACAGATACCCTTGTGCATGTGTGTGTGCACATGCATGCACATCTGGGTGTCTGGAAATGGGTTTGAAGGTGGTGGGGCAGAGGGAAATTGGGGATGGTGCCTCTTCTAGGGACTGAGCTCTGTGCTCCTGTTGTAGATGGAGTTAGAATCGATGGGGCCATCCATCCCTTCTGTGATTCACGATGAAAATGGAAATGTGATTGACAGCAGAGACCCCACGGGGGAGCCCATCCAGTTTGTGTTTGAAGAGATAACCTGGCAGCAGAAAATCACTTGGGAGGAAGCGGCTCAGAAGCTGGAAGTTGCCATGTATCCATTTAAGAAAGTAAGCAAAGCGCCTGCCCTGTTTCTTCTCCTGGGTGTGGTTCAGAGAGAAAAAGAGAACTGTACTGAGATGCTCTAGTCATCCTGAGGCCCAATAAAAGCTGTAGAGCTGTAGCTGGCTTAAGAGAGAAATGCCGAGGGACCCCACACAGTGCGTTGACTCAGTATATGCTGTCCGTGTGTTGTAGCGCTTGACTTGAGCTTGGCAAGGCTGGATTAAGTGCAGTGAGGTTAGTCTGTGGTGTCTTTGCTCTAGAGAGGAGGAATCAGAAGCTCAGAGAGGTTGGTCATCCAGGGTCGCCGGGAGGCGGGGATGGAGCTCAGATATCTCATGGCTCAGGCTCGTTTAAGTGCAAGCTCATCTCGCCTTGCTCTTATCAGTCACCACCGATGCTATTTTGTGAGAGGCCGGTAATGATGGTGCTTGAAAAGTGGCTTCCCTTCAGTCTCAGCTGAACCTTGGGATTGTGCTTTTCTTATTGGCAGGCACCACATGAGCCACTCATGGCTCAGCATCTCCAAATAAAAAGTGTGTTTGTGGCACTGGGTGACCCAAGTGATTTAATAACCCAGCAGCCATAAGAGCAAGTTGCTTCTCTGCAGCTGAGTGAACGGAAGCACAAGCTCAGCCCTGGAATGGGATTTCCTCTGGGATGAGTATTTCTGTGAGCTGCCAAGGCGCTAATAAAGTTTAGCTTTGAGTGATTGGAGCCACATCTCTGCAGCATCTTTTCTAATAAACAGGATCAACTTTTTTGGGCCTGTGAGCAAGCTCAGCTGGACAAACCCCTACCTAGTGTACACGCGTGTAATAGCATATGTCCTCTGCATTCCTGTCAGGCTCTTTGGAAATCTCCCCAGAGTTGAAGCCGTTTGCCATTCTTTAGGGCAACTGCATAAATCTCAGATCTTTCTCAGACAAATTGTGCTTCGTGCCAGGGAACAGTGTGTCTGACCTGCCCAGCCCCAGGCTTAGCACATGCCTTTCTCCTGGTCACGTTCACCAGAGGATCCCCTCACACTCTCTAAAGTCAGTGAATGCACCATCTCGTTTGTCTGGAGCCTGGCAGGAGGGAAGTGCTCTCGTCTTATCTTGGACATGGGAGAGGCACAGAGAGAAGTGATGCAGAGCAAGTCAGTGGGAGAGCTGCAAACAGACCCCAGGAGTCCTGGGTCCCAGTCGCTTGCAAGACTGGGCTCTGAATGGCAGTGAGGGGGGCAGTGGGGCAGAGAGGATTATTGTCCTGGAAATGCCAAGGTTTAGTTGCTGTGCGTTGAACCCATGGAGGTGCACAGCTGGGTTTACATGCTGGTTCGGTTTGCATTGTGTGACATGCTGGGGCAGGCCCAGCCTTTCTGAATCTTGCTCTGTGTTTGTTGGGTTGCTTTGGTGTCGGGTTTTCAAACCTCCGCCCTGCTTCCAGGTTTCGTACCTGCCCTTTACACAAGCCTTTGAGAGAGCAAAAGCTGAGAACAAGCTGGTGCACTCCATCCTGCTGTGGGGCGCGCTGGACGACCAGTCCTGCTGAGGTGAGGAGCTGCCACCTTTGCTCTCTTTAAGGGGGGTTCAGGGGATGCTACATGAGCAGCCAAGCCCCCTGCCCTTCCCAAGTAGGAACGCCTTGTCCAGGCTTCTCCAGGCAGTTGGGATCAATGGGAAAATGAACTGCAGTTGGCTGAGGTGATGCTGTGCTGGTGAGAACAGGTTGCATTAGAGTCACTGCCCAGCCCAGAGCCCTGCAGCGCAGACACATCTCTGCAGCGGGCCCAAACCACCGCAGATTGCAGTACCCTGAGCCTTAGGAAAGGTCTGGGCCTTGCATCTTGGTGGTGGGGAACCATCTTTGCTTTCCTGTAGGCTTACAAAGCCTATCGCATTCTCCAGCCTGTTCCCACGCACTGCTCCCCAGCCACCAGATTGGACCAATGTAGCATCTAGAGCAGTGACACCCAGAGCGCTTGCATTCAAGACCCCCTGTTGCAGCATTGGGGGGCAGCTGGGACAATCAGTCTGTCTGTCTCTGGCAGGTTCGGGGCGGACTCTCCGGGAGACAGTCCTGGAAAGTTCGCCCATCCTCACTTTGCTGAATGAGAGCTTTGTCAGCAGCTGGTCACTAGTGAAGGAGCTAGAGGACTTGCAGGTAAGTGGTGTCCTGTCTGACTTCTGTGCCAATACGGCTGGTAAAGGCAGTTGCTTAACACCCCTGGGACCGGGCAGTGCTGAGGATGGGGTCTCTGGGGGGCCCTGGCTTTCTTCCCCACTTTCTGGGCAACCCTAGACATCTGGTCTCTGAGTGTGTCCAAGGTTCCCAGGATCTAGGTCTCCCATGTGTTTGAGATGCCCCAGAGCAGATACGCTGCCCGATGCCAGGTTTGGCACACGTGAGCCAGACTGAGTAGATAGGGTGCACTCAAACGTGCTCCACAGCAGCAAGGGCGCAGCGTAGACACTCCCTGTGTCTCGGTTTCCTATTAGTAAACCAGAGGCGACGGCACTTCTGTATCCCAGCTGCATTCAAGGTTGTGGTGAGGCACTCGGCCACCTGGCTCCCTTGTGCTACGTACACAGGCCAGCACTGCTTGTGTACGTAGCACTGGCTTCACTGCCTGCGTTCCTGCCTCCTTGCCCCACTAATGGTGGCGCTTGCATAGAAATCCTAACAGCTGTGCATGAGGGGTGAACATAGTAGATCGGAGTGGTGAATAAAATGCTGGCAGGTGGCTGGATGTGCTGCCTTTCTCTTCTCCTGGCCAAGGGCAGAAGATGCCATTGCTGGGGCAGAAGGGAGTTGAATTTCTGTCCGCTCCCTAGCAGGACAAATGTCCACCTGTGCTGCTACCAGCACCTGGCCTGGCTAGAGACAGAGCTCTTCCAGGGATGGGGTGGTCTTCTCAGCTTGCTGCTCAGCCAAAAGCCTTTCCCTGAGATGCACACTGCATGCAGTCTGTGGCGTTCCCAGTCTGGCACCTTTTGGTAGAATAAAGACAATGCACAGATGGAGGCAAACTGAGGAGGCAGCTCAAGGATCCTCCTTTGGTCAGAGATACAGTGCCTGCAAAACCCCCCAGAAAGGGAGCTTCACCTACTTAACACTGGCGTTTTTCTCTGCCTGCTCCCCCCAGTGTTGTGAGCTAGGAAGTGTCAGTTTAATTTGGAGTGCCCTGGCTTGGCAGATCTTTAGTGGATCATAAATGTTGATTGTTTCCTAGCCCTGGCCATTGATCCAGACATCAGTCAGTCAGAGAGATTTAATTCCCTTGAGAAAGCATACTGGATACATCTGCCATTGGACCTTTGCCAGCATCAGTGTGACTGCAGGGGGTCCCATGGTAATGAACATTAGGGTGCCCTGATTGAGAGAGCCAGTAGGCCAGCATTGCATGCAGAACAGGTCCAGCTTTTCAGTCCTGCTCCCTCCCGTGTTTTCATGTGTATGTTGCATTTGCTCCCCCTTTCTCTATTTTGCTGGTCTTTAGCACATAATGCCCTTCTGGGGTCCTTTTTTACAGACCAAGAGAGACAATGAATTCTACAGGAAGCTAGCAGAGCTGCACCTAGAGAAATACAACTTCCCTGTGGAGATGATGATCTGCCTTCCCAATGGAACAGTGGTACGTCAGCCACCCTCTGTCCTGGGTCTCTGGCTCTCCCATCCATGACCCACTTCCTTCTCATTTAGTCTTTCATCTCTCAGCAGATCCCGTGGAGTCTTGGGTGCCTAGATAGCACCTGGCATTGGAGAGTTTTTCTTGCTCTAAAATATTTATCCCACTAAGTCTGATTATATATAGCAGGAGTTTGGAGTAGAATAAGCCTCTGCTGACATGAGCCATTAGAGCTGCTTATAGTTACACAAGGAGAAATGTGTCAGTGACTTGCATTAAATGCTGAGCCCTTACAAAGCCCTCATTGTTTTCCAAGAACCTGAGTGAAGGTTGAAGATGAATGTTTGCCAAGATGCAGTTTCAACTGTCTGCAAAGCCCCCAACTCTGCTCTTGGCAATACCAAACAAATAAATATGATTCCATTTTATAGATGAGGACCCTGAAGCATAGATCTGTTCTTGCTGTCAAAATCAGGATCTGGATGCGTGAATCCCTGCTCACCCCTCCCTCTCCAACTCTCTGTGTCTGGGTTTGAAACTATCTGTCACACCCTAGCTGAGTGCCCGCTAATGGGTATTCCTCAGGCTGTGCTAAATCACGCTGTGATCTTTGGTTCCCTGTACTGGGCAGAGTTTCGAGGCTGGCCCTCTGGGTGTGCTTTCAGTGTGCTTGTCTCTCCAGCCACCCCTTCTCAGAGATGGGACTTAACAGTCAAGCTGGAACTTGGTGTTAGCTCCTCCACGCCTCCCCAGAATGGCACCAAAGCTGTGGACCCTCCACATTTCTGCCTTATCCTTCAAGGGCTTTGTGACAGGCACAGCCCCAAAGTGATGCAGACAGACTCTGTGAGGGAATCTATGGCAGAATAACCCAAACCCAGATCCTGCCTCCTTGCCTTTACCTCTCTTCAGAGCTCTCTAGATTGTAGTCAGCATCTTCCAGGGAGCCCGTTACAACCAATAGTTTCAGCCCCAACCTGCCATCAGGCCCCAGTCTTGGGTCAGTGTGGCAGACTCCTTTTCTTACTCACAGCAGGTTCCAGCAATTTAATCCTTCCCCACCCCGTGTCTGGGTTGATCTTAGTCATTAGTAGGTCAGCAGACTGACTCCATTGCACCCCCTTGGACTGGAGAAGTACAGCAGAGACAACAGCGTTTGATGCTTGTTTTGCTCCAGCTAAGTGTGGAGCAAAACAAGCTGTCTACACCTACAGTCTGCCTCTCTCCACGGGTGTCTCCTTACAGGACAGCAGTAACTCCTTGCAGCCTAGTAGTGCACGCATGATGGGAACCAGACAGGTGCATGTAATGCTTGCAAAATGAAAGGGATGCTTTGTTCCTAATGTCCTCTCTAAGGAGCCTCTCAATAACAGCGTGTGTTTGAGGGTGCTGGCTCCTGTGCGCAAGGACTCCTGTGTAATCCTACCCCTCCTGTCTGTGGCTGAACATTGCTTTTAAAAGCACTGGGTAATGCCAGCTGCCACTGAAATCGATGGAGCTGCAGGTGCTTAGCGGTGTTGGAAAGCAGGCTATTAATCTCTCATGGCTTCACCCCATCTGTAAAATGGAAGCCCTGTTTCTCAAAGGCATAATTCACTAGCAACTGCAAAGCACTTTGAGGTTTTTGGACTTAGTGAAGGGCATAAGTATGTTGTTCACCTGGTTATCGGCTAATCCATTGACTGGTGAACTGCCCTTACAGTGGTAGTTGTTTAAACTGTGTCTTTCTATGGCATGCTTCCTTCCCCAGATTCACCACATCAATGCCAACTACTTCCTGGATATTACTTCTATGAAGCCCGAAGAAGTTGAGAGCAGTGTCTTCAGTTTCTCAACCAATTTTGAAGATCCTTCTACTGCGACCTACCTCCAGTTCCTGAAGGAGGGACTGCACAGAGCAAAACCCTTCTTGCAGACTTAAAAAAAAAAAAGGAGCAAGTCTAACTTTGGGAGTTGTTAGAGCTTGGTTTTTGGCTAAGCTGGTTCTTCCTCCTCTGTGGAGTACACATGGTGTGGATACTGAAATGCAGAAGATTCTAGGATGGCAGCCTTGAACTGAATGGTAGGGTTGTAGATTTTAGAACAGCATCATTTAAAAGGTTTTAATTTCTCTTTTTACATAACTTCCCCTTGCGAGTTTAGGAAACTTCTAGAGGAGCTAAAACACCTTAATTTATAAGCCTTTTGTGCATGTGTGTCACAGTCTGTATTACCACCCCTTTCTTTTGCTTAATCTTTACTCCAGAAGTTATGCACTCATGTTGTAACTATCCTGAGTGAAAACTTCAAACACTTGTTCTCCAGGGCCTGACTTCCTTACCCACCGTCCATACAACACCACTTGTTCATGTCACGTGCCACTCTCTATGAACAAGGGTTGCAGAACTGAGCTGCCCGCGTATGATGCTTTCTACAAACGTCTAGCATTTGGTAATGGTTCTCCTTGCTTCTGGAGCAGTTCAAATGAGTTGACTCTGATCTACAAATCATTGTGTAGTCTGGGACCTGGCCTTTTTTTTAGGGTCTCTGTATTTCCACTTCTCTCAGCAAGGGTATCGGATAGCTGCCTAGATCAGTTTGGTGTGCTGTAAGACCTACCTTTGTCAGGCTCTCACCTGAGAGGGAGATCATAGAGTCGACCTGGTGGAACTGGCAGTGGGAAATTTGTCATCAAAACATGTTTTCAGTGTGTTTCAGTGCTCAGCGTTGTCCTGAGAGCCTTCAAACACTGAGACATCCTAACATGATTCCCAGGTATTATTCATCCAGAAGCCTTTGCATGTTGTGTATAGCTGTACCTTGCTACCATCCATACTTTACATCTTGCATGTTTTGTTTCCAAGTCTACTGAACAAGTGAACTCATCAGCTGCAAAAGATTTATTAGAAAGAGAGGGCTGAGTGTCTGTCTCACACGTTAGCTGCTATAGAAATGAAGTGTTTTTTCCCTGACATCTTTGAGAACTGCACACAGGATTTTTTCCAAGGGTGAAGAATGAAGGAGAATTTGCCATCAAACTGTTGGTGATCCTCCTTCTCTAACAGTCTTCAATGGCTGCTCTTATTCGATCCTGCAGCCAAGAACTTGTATAAACATAAATTAATTAAAAAGATGGAGATGTCCTTTAGATAGCAAAATCCTATTACAGTCCATGGATATAACTATTGATTACTTGTTTTATCATCCCCTTGAACACTTACTGTCCTGTCACTGGGTCAGACAGAATCAGTGGTAAACAATCAAAGCAGCCAGTTGCCACAGCCAAACAACAGGGCTGGTGATGCTTTTTTTTTTTTCCTGCTCAGTGAAGCACAATTTAATCTGAAATGCACTCAGTGGACCAAACAAGATGAACAGCCCCCAAGGCCCCTGTGCTGTTTGGGATTCTTGTTTTCCTTCCTTCATGGGATGCATACTTCAGATTAAAAAACCAATCTGGTAGAGAGGTCTTTGTCCCAGGTCTGCTGTACTGCAGTGATTCGCAACCAAGGTACCTAGGCACCTTTGAAGGGTGCCACTGAGATGTGAGGAGATAAGCAAATAGGCTCAGGCTTTTCCCGGACTACCCACTCCCCTGGTCCTACTGCCTAGCCCCTCTACAAGAAGGCGTGCCCTGTAATAAATCAGTTTTTTAAACGGTGCAGCTCAGTTCACAAAAGTTGTTAATAGGGGTGCCCTGAGTCTAAGAAGGTTGAGAACCACTGCTGTAGTGTGTTAAATAACCGTTGGGGTGTTTCTCAGTATTAGCTTTATAACTGTGTTG